CTGCTTGCTCTTTCTTTTCCTCTCCCTTTCTTCTGTTTCCTTCTGACCTTATTTGTGCGTGTGCGCACTCACGTTCTCTCTCTCTCTGGCATATGGAATTATTGGTGTTGGTAGATGTATTCCTCGTGGGTTTTTTGTTTTCCTTTCTTTGTCTGAATGACTGGATACTGGCTGTCTCTCCCAGGGCAAGATAAATCCACCCTGGCAATTTTGTAATTAGTCTTGTTCGGCGCATGGTTTTGGCAGGTAATAGCACCTGGGGGCTGTCAAGTTGCAGGTGCATTCTACATACATAGTGACTCCTGAGGATTACACTGCATCTGGCCACTGTGCAGGCAACACTACAGATCACCAGTGTCAGCCTTCCACAGCCCAGCACAGCAAGGAGAGCCAGGGAGAGCCAGGAACCAGCAAGCCCCCTCTGTGCCTTGCCATCAGCGCCCTGGGGCCAAAGACCCCCCCCCAAGGGGAGTTCTGAAGGGTCATTTCAACCATGTACCTGAAAATATAAAAATACATGAAAGGCCCTTCTCCTGCCAGCTAGAATTTCAGTTTGGAGGCACGTGAAAGCCAACATGGTGATGTGGAGGCTGGGGGTGCTTCCCACCCTCCACCCTCCCGTCTTCTGGCTCTGCCCCCACTGTTCTGATCTTTCCCTCCCTCCCTGTCCTTCCGCCTAGTCCTCCTCTGCTGAGTGCTGCTCCTCACAGATCCATTCCCGTCTCTCCATTCACACCAGAACCAAATGGGCATTGTGCTTTAAAATTGCTTCCTACTATCCATATTTCCTGCGTTTGCCCTTGATTCTGAAAGCCACTGGCATCCACACTCAGCCCTGTATATCCCAGTTGACTGTGCTTATTTAAACTTTGCATCTCTCTTAGCAAGCAGCCTTTTCATTCGACTTTAGAAGGTTTGCCATTTAAAACATGTTTTACTTTGGCCTCCTTAAAATTCCTTTCCCTGCTGCCATCTCCAGTGGCTCTAAGATTCAGCTTCTCCAGGCTCCTCCACATCTATAGGGCTTTAGGAGATAAAAGGATAGTGAGGACCCCCCCGCCCCCCGCATGAACATGCCCCCTTAACCTATACTTGCTGGTCCTGGCCACGAAGCTGGTGGCCCCTGAAGCCCCTGACTCCTGCCATTCCCAGTCCTCTCTGTGCACCACCTGATAAAACTGTCCTCCCAGCCTGGATTACCTCTGGGGTCTCACCAACAAAGCCCATCCCCTCAGTCTTCCAGCACCCCATGACGCTGCCCCAACAGCGCCAGCCATCTTGTCCTGAAGATCAGATTGAGATGAGACTAAAGACAGTGAAAACAGAGAAGCAGAGCTCAGGCAGGGCAGGCGGTGCCAGCTGGACCCAGGCCTTCAGGTGGTTTGGAATGAAACTTATATCAGATCCAACCCCTAAGTTATGGACAAGAGATTTTTTCAAAGCAAGGGTTCTGTAGCAGAGAAGTCAGTAAAAGACTCACATGCCTCATGACGTTGCTTTTGACCCTATTTCAGAGGAGCATGGGATCTCAGTGGCCCTGATGTTACAGCATTGTCTCAGTGGCAGCCACTGAGACCAGCCAGCCTTCCCTGAGGCAATCTGAAGGTGACCTGCACCTTCTAAGCTGACATGTCAAGGAGAGTTTCAGCTGTGGCTTGTGACCCCTTCAAAATACTCTCTAACCACCTAATCTCGAGAGAATGCCCTGCAAGACAACTTGATTGAGTATTCCAGCCCCTAAATTCCTTACGCCTGGCTGTGCTTTAAAAACATAATTTTTAAAAAACCTGTTTTATCTTCCAAAGAACTATTTTTCAGCCACCTGTCATTCTCCAGAGAGGAAGTGTAGTGTGACAACTGGGAAACACATCCCGCTGGCTCTCACCTCTGTCCTGAGAAGACCCTTCACCTAGGAGAACCCTCTCTGTGCTGGCCCCCAGCGCTCCCTCAGTTCCCGCCCTTGGCATCCTAAACGTGGTCTAGAGAAATGAGCTCAGTGAAAAGGAATAGTGAGACATTCCAGAAACAGACTCTGTCCACTGAGGCAATACTTCTAATGTGACCCTAAACTCAATTCTAGCTGCCCAGTGCTATTCCTGTCATCACTGCCTGTGACACCAGACCAAGGCAATCTGCATAAGTAGATTGAAGTGAGTAACTGGCCTTTCCTTCCTGTCTGCTCGTAGCCCGCAATCTGGAGCCACTCGCCAGCACTCTTTCTAAAGATGCCCACCCCTGCCTCAGATGCGGAGCAATATAGTTGTCACTCCATATCTCACTTATACTCTTTGCATGACCAATTACTTGCCTCAATATCTTGAAATCCTTAAAAATTAACAAACCATTAGAAAATGAAGATGAAAAAATTGGCTGTTCAAAAATTGACTCCGTGCCTCCCATCAGTGGAGACAGTTCCATATTAAAGGTCCCCAGAATGCTGCGGCTGGGGAAGCAGCCGCACTGGCTCCCCACAGAAGGGGGTGCTGGACGGCTCATGGGGCGCAGCCTTCAGGGAATCTCACCACCCCTTTCTTCCCCAGCAAGACCATGGTGGAGACACTTTAAACGAACCCAAGGGGGCTGGGAGCAGAGTAGGGAAAGGGTCAGAGACTGAGGGCACAAGTATCGTGGGCTACCAGCTAATTCCAAATTTAGAGTCAAGAGTAGAGCTGATGCAGGAAGTTTCTCAAGGCATCCTGCTAGGTATGCAGGAGAGAGGGAAGTACACGAATACATCTCAGCGAACAGTGCTCCACTGGGTCCAGCTGCCCTTCCAGCTCACAAAGACTCACATGACCGGAGGGGACCATCTAGCAAACGCCCTTGGCTCTGCTGGAGCATCAGCAGACGGGTCCTCCCAGGGCGAGGGCCGCATCTCGGGCCTCCTCTGTTGTCCCAGGGAAACCGCTCCGTGACTGCCTTCTGCTTTTACCATGAGTGCTGATCTATTTCTGAGACCTCGGGTATTGTAAACATAGTTCCTTGCATAAGAATAGGTTTGTGTGAGATGTTAAAGGCGACATGCTCCAGCAAGTCAAGTGCCCTCTGAACAGCGCAGCTTAAGGCTCAAGAAAAAGTTCACGTGTGAGTCTCTAGATCCTCCCACAGTGATGAGCATCCTGGGAGAGCTACCACTGCCTGGGCTAGGGGGCCCCAGAGGTGCCAGGAGCGCCCCTCCTTCCTCCCTCTCCTGCCTCCAGCTGCTGCTCACTGCTGCTCGTCTCCTATTACAGACACATGTCACACGGACTATTAAATTAATGCATATTATTAAAATAATAAAATACAATCAAGAGTATTAGAACTGACCTAAAGCTAAATCTTGAAGGAAAGAATGATTTAAATAGATGAGATCTTCAACAGGAGCTATAAAGCCTAAAAAACAGTAAGAGAAAAGACAGTTAAATGTTTAAGAATCCCAAATGAAGGATTCTGAATGTTGAAGAAGGAAAATAAATTAGTTTATTTTTTAAATGGCTAGAGGTTGGTTCAATTGGGCCAGGTAAGACAGGTAGGTTCTCTGAATTGTCCTATTTAGAATGGGATTGGCCCCAAAGACCTTCTAGCATTTGCCCAGGATTCACAGGACTCAAGGGTAGCTGTGGTGGTTTTCATGGTGGACCCAAGAGGGGAGCAATGGCCCACGCCTCCTGGGGGTCCCCTAATGCCCTGCAGCCCCTCTGGCCCTCCCACTCCCCACCCCACTGAAGCCCGAGTGTGTGTGTGTGAGTGTGTGTGTGTGTGTGTGTGTGTGTGTCTGTCTGTCTGTCTGTCTGAGTCTCTGCCCATGTTCGTTTCTGTGTTCAGTCTCAGCCCACTAGCTCAGCCCTAGTGACCCTACCCTCCTGGCAGCTGGTAATCTTCCTGAAGCAGAGCAGATCTAGAATGTGTCCTGTAAGTGGCTAGAGAAGTGTCCCTCTCCTTCTTCCCTTACCTCACCCTATAGCTCCACCATTCCCAAAAAAGGACATCTACCAACTTGCTATGGAAAAAAGAAGAGAATTTGCTGAGAAATCTGTTCCCAAAGAAGTATTTTCAGGCTGCAGCAAATGTCTAGCTGTGCACATATCCATCCTTTGAAAATTCCATTACACATTTTCCTTGTTTGTAACTTAAAAACAGAAATGCAAGAGCAGCCATCTGGAAGTGGAGGGTAAAATCAGTCACGGCTCTGTAGCAAGAGCTCACAGCTCAGACGGCTGGGTCTGGGCTCCAGGAACTGGGCAGAGGCTGGCCCTGTGACACTCCCCTGAAGTATCCTCAGCTCCCACCCCAAATTGGGTTCAGCACTCAGACCCATGAGAATAGCTTCTTAAGGTGTTAGTGGTAAAATCCTAAATTGTGTGCAGGGCTTTCAAGGTTAAAAAACAATTCAACACTCATTATTCCATGCCAATGGCCAGGATTCCCCCATCTAGTGACCAGTAGCCAAGCAAGGCCATCTACTGCCTGAGCCCCTGAGGTAGCCCCCACTCTGGAGGCGGTTGAGGGCCACCTCTTTAGCTCCTCCTCAGTGATAACTAGAGTTCAGTCTTCCCCTAAACCTGAGGGGCCATCACCCTTGACTCCTTTGGGTAAACGTGTGGCAAGGACAGGCTCTGGTGGAGGCGAGGCCTCTGTCTCCAGCTGGCGCTGCAGCACAGGCCCTCAAAGCTTCCCTTAGAACACTCGGCTGGTTGAAAAAGAAAGCTTCCATCCACAAAATCCAGAAGACCTCACCTGCTCATCTATAATGGGTGCGAGTTATTGAATTCGCGGCCAGAGGTGGTCACAGGTAGGAGAGGGCCTTTCGGGTCCTCGTTAGATGCGAGGCCTGTGATGCAGGGCCCACACTCATGGTGCTGTCCCAGAACCTGCCAGGCCCACGCTTTGTATTTTGTCACTTGTTTCCTTTTGCCCTCTCCTGCCACTGTGTTGCTCCTGTGTTAGCCAAGACCTGACATACCAGCGTCTTCCTCGGAGACTCATTACAGCTTATCTCTATCTGCCTTTCTTTAAAGCCAGCTGAACATACCCAATGCTCTCCCTCTATGGTAAGACCGACCCTCCAGACCACGCTTCCAGCTTCTGTGACCCCCTCTGACACCCCCACCTGTACCCACCCCAACCCCCAGAGTCTCTGGGAGCCCACCTGGCTCCCACTGCATGTGGCCACTGTGTCTGTCATGTGCCTGCCTGCCCCTTGTCGTGAGCTGTGAGGTGTTGTTTGTGCAGTGGTGTTCTTTCACCTCCCTGAGCTTTCCCGGGGGTGGCAGTTCACTGCGTTCTTAGCCATCTAATGAGCACTGGGAGAGAACTGGACCCAAGGGCCACTTCCTGTTAAACACCCCAAGGACTCCACTGGCTAAAGTCTCTAACTGGAATGCCATGTGGGAAATCTGCAGAGGGCCCTGTGAGAGCCCTGCTGAGGGCCTCCAGGGCCGGGGGAAAGAGAGGTGCTCTAGCCAGGGGACGGAAGGGCCCACAATGACTTCCTGCTGGTCAGTGTTACCCGACATCTCTAACTCCAAGCCTCCCTTGTGCTCCAAGTGTAAGGTCACCATAAAAGGCTTAAGCTGGGACCTGTCACTGAGAGGATGGTTGCATTCCCAGTCACTCCAACTATGTTGCCCCTTGCATTTTTCCAATTCCTGAAGTTTGTTGAAATTAGGCTATACCCACTTTTCTGCAGCAGGCTTAAAGCAGGAAAACAAACTTGGTTGATTGGACCACTCCTGTCGTAGGCGTCTGTGATTCACTTTGACTAAAGTGATAAAGATGCCACTCAGTGTGACCTTGAGGTGTCCTTGGAACAGCCTCCTCCAAAAGGCTGCTGTCACACATTTAAAACTGGGCCAAGTGCAAATTTTTAGAAGGACCAGCGGGCTGGAGGCAAGATGGGGTGGGCTGGTGGTGGTCCCCAAAGCCCTCCAGCCCGCCGGGCCAAGGCTGCCGAAGGGCCGGCCGGAGCATGGTGTCCTGCCCACTTCGGGGGACAGCCGTGTGGGTTCGCTTCTCCACTGCACTGCCATTTGGTGTATTAAAGGAGGCTGCTGTGTCCAAACGGCAGTGTTTCCTTCTCCTTCTAGAGCAGCATCAGGGAGCTGCGGCAACGTGGGGTCCTGAGGGCCAGGGTGGGATCTGCCCTGCAAGCCTGGTTTTTGGTGGGTTTTTTTTTTAAGTCATCAGATCTTGATGCCCCTGTGGCACCAACTTCTAAACCTCTGACACTCACAGCTGAAGTCCCCGCTTAAGCTTGTTCTTTCTTCTTTTCCTCCTTCCCCGAACAAGATGGAACTGACAGCTGAGTTACAAAACCCTAAGCCTCCCCTGCATACTCCTCTGGGGGAACACAACCTCCTTTGAAGGAGAGAAAATAGAATTTCAAGTACATACACAGGTGATAGAAAAACCGAGATTAAGGGCATCAAAGACTTCGCAATGCACAGGCCGGGCAAGGCCCAGGGACAGGACAGGACCACACCTGCAGTGTACCCTGAGCCCCTTCATCAGCCCACGTAGCAGGCCCCAAACACCCACAGGTCTGTCCCCTGACTTGAGGGGAACAGGAGCCCCAGGAGGAGAGGAGGCAGCTCTGATTTTGAAATATAAGAAATATTCAGACCCTCCTGTCTGGGAGGTCTGAAGACCAGGAGAGACCCTGTCTGGCTTGGTTTCTGTGCAGCACCCCAGGGTGGAGGGAGGGACATGTAAAAGCTGCCTTTGCATTTCCCTGCCCCAGTGAAGTGAGTGTCCCCTGAAGCCACCCAGCATCAGTGAGGGTCAGCACAGGCTGCAGGGTTAGAACGGAAAAGCCGTGTGAGCCCTCGAGGGCTTTAGTGCTGGTGACATTTTCAGGGGGTGCAAGCAAGGCACAAGTACTGTCAGGGGTCTGACCTGGAAGTCATTAAACATGAAGCGAGTGAAGCAAGAGGAGGAGTGGAGTGGGGCACAGGGGGCCATGGGGGTCCCCTTGGCAGCCTGGAGGCCTTCCTGCCAGAGCGAGGAACACTCAGACAGGAAGAGCAACAGGAAGCCCAGCGGGTCCGTTCTCTCCCGGGGCCGGGGCCAGCGGGGTGGGTGAGCTGCACTAGCTCTGGGGAAGGGTGAGCGGCCTCAACCCCAGCGGGTTACCTCCCTCTGTGGTGGAAGGGGGATCGGTTCATGTTGTCCTTAGGTCTGGAGCAGAGGGTGACAGGGCAGCCTGTCCTGCTCCTGAGCCCTGGCCGGGCATGTGCCCCAGCCCCCAGGTTCCTGAAGGTCTCACAGCTGAGGGTGAGCCTTTGGCCCCAGACTCCGCAGCAGCCCAAGCATCACAAAGCCACCTCGGCTTGCCCTGGCCTAGATTCTGTCCCCTCCCTCTCCCCTTCCCTCCAGCACTCCACAGAGCGAGATGATCTGTCCTGAGCAGGACAGGGCCTGGACCTGTCTAGGGCTCAGACCAAGTGACCGCCTTCCCTACCTCACCCTGCCCCACACCCCCACCCCTTCCAGGGTCTTGCGCAGCCTGGGGAAGGTTGGAGCCTCCTAGAGGCCCAAGAGCAGAGGTGAGTAGGAGGACGAGAGCTTCAGAGCAGGGGCCAAAAACAGACACTCCGCAGTCAGCAACGCCCCTCCTCCCCGTCCTGTCCCACCCCTGCAGCCAGCTTGGGGCAAGGGCTGTGGGAAGTAGAGGAGGCCCGAGGTGCCGTCAGTGGGCAGCCCCTCTGCCCTGAGCTCTCAGCCAGCATCCTCCAGAGAGCCAGACCCCACTCGGACACAGTACCCTCCACCACACCAGGCAGGCGGCGAGCTGGGGCTGCGTCCTCGGCACCCTGGCAGAGACGGGGGCCTCTGGGGGCAGCTGGTTCTGGGCCTAGAAAGTTCCAAAGCATATGGTCGTTCCTGTGGAATCCCCCATTGCTCCATCCAGGGCATTGAGAACTAGGGGTGAAGGGAAAGGGGGAGAACAGAAAAACAGGGCCACGGGCACAGGGGCCTGGGCACAGCTTGGCTCTGCAGAGACCACAGGAGGGTTTTCTACCCAGAAGAGGCAGGCAGCGGACCTCGCCTCTGCAGACCAGGGGAGAGAGCCTAGTGCAGCTGACCCCACCCTGACCTCCTCCCTACCCTCCCTGAGGGCTTGTTTCTCGCAAGAGCGGCCCACCCCTCCTTGCCCACCTCCTCGTCTGTGCTAACTGCACCTCCTGTTGCCGATGGATTCCAGAATGCAGAGGAAAACTCCCGCATCTCCATCACTTTCTTCCGCCTCTTCCGCGTCATGCGCCTGGTCAAGCTGCTGAGCCGCGGGGAGGGCATCCGGACCCTGCTGTGGACCTTCATCAAGTCCTTCCAGGTAGCCACGCCACCCCTCCCCCAGCGACGCACTGCCTGCAGAGGGAGAGCCCCTCATCTCCCAGGGGGCTGCACCCAGCTGTCACCGGGGGCCCCTGGACTGGAGCTGAGCTGCCGAGGCAGGAGGAAAGAGTCCACCCCAGGGCTCAGGCTACTCCATAGCCGTGGGACAGCACCCCCCTAAAGTGAGAGGGTTGGACAGGGACTGTGGTTTTCAAAGGCAGGCTCCTGGAGCCCCGGGCTTCCTCAAAGCCAAGGTACGGAAGGGCGGGGATGAGGGGGTGGCTGAAAGGGTTCTGCTTTCTTCCGTGTTTACGGATATCTTCACAAGCACTTACTGAACAGAGGGGCTTCACAGTATGGAACAAACTGAAAAATGGGCCTAGATAATCTGATGACCTCTGTGGCCCCTCCAATTCCGGCATTTTCAGAGCCTGGCTGTCGCCTTCCTCCCACGGGCATTTCAGCAGTGTGTGCAGACCCTACCTGCCTATGTCCTCAGCCAAACTCTCAGGGACCCTGTGTCACTCCACTCAAGGAGAGAGGTTCCCTGTATAGGCACAAGATTGCTAACTATGTGATTAATTCCCTATTCTCAGCCATCATTTTCCATCTGTAAAAACAGAATAACAATTGCCCCTGGCCAGCTCTGAGGAGTGTTATGTAAGTTTGGAGTTAAAGAGAAGCAAAGCTGTTAGGTCAGTTGAATTCCTTGAAGATGAGTGTCGAAACCTCCACATATGGCTCATGCGTCCCTGGCCTGGCGGGGAGGACAGGCCTGCTTCTTCCCAGGGAAGTGCCATCTCCAACTTCCCAGGACGGGAGGCCCGCCTGCACTGAGGACCAGCCTTCATGCCCCTCCCTGGCCAGTGCCTGCCCGGGACGGTGCGTGCAGTCAGTCTCTGACCCATATGTGCCCACAGAAAAGGTGCTCGCGGCCCCCAGGCAGCCTCCTGTGGGTCACTCCAAGCTGTCCACTGGACCAGAGACCCAGGGCCCCAGCCCAGCACCTCCTCTCAGCCAGGCCTGTGCCCACCTGTACTCTGCTCGGCCCGGGGTCTCCCTGAGGATTCACAGTCATAGCACTAACTAATGGGAGCAGGACGCGGGTACCCTGGGGTCCCACAGGCCCTCCTATTTCCCTGGGCTAGGACAGGGACTGAGTGTGGGGCAGGAGTCTCAACCCCACAGAAAAGCCTCGCGTGGTCTCGCTGCGCCATCTAGTGGCGCGCAGCGGTACTCAGGCTCGCGGTGCCTCCCCCAGAAGGGTGGGGGTGCTGGAAAAGCAGTTGTCCGAGCTCCAGGGCAGCATGGAGTGAATAAAATCTATGGCTCCCAACCATGTGCCAAGTGTTGCACTAAGCGCTTTAGAAGCCTTAAATCATTTCAACTCCACAAAAGTCCTGAGGGGTCATTATTATTCCCATTTTTCAGATGAGAAAATGTAGGCTCAGAGAGGTTAAGTAATATGCCCAAGCTCCCATAGCTAGAAAGAGACATGATCTTGTAAGGTTTTCTTTATTAAGTGTTTTTTATTACAATAGTAATACCTGCTCACTGCAGCTAGTGGAACAGAATTAAACTGCTCAAGCCTCCAGCCCACTCCCAGGTAGCCACTGTCCACGTGGTATGTATCCTCCAGGACCTTCTCCGTGCTTGTACAAATGTATATGTAGAGTCAGAGGAGTCTTTGCTCGTTCCTGATTGTTCTCACCACCGCAGTATCGCACTATGTCCATTCTCCACACCCTGCTTTTAAAACCAAGCCTACGTGAGAAGCCGGTGTCTGTTCCTCAGGCCTTCTCCCAAGTGCCCAAGACGTGTGTGGAGCTCTTGGAATGCCCCCTCCCACCACTCAAAGCCAGGCAGCAGCTGATGGCTGCAGGGAGGGGATGCATGCTCCCTGGGAAGGGGTGCAGCCGACCTCATGGTGCCCTGCACTTCCTTCCAGGCCCTGCCATACGTGGCCCTGCTGATAGTGATGCTGTTCTTCATCTACGCCGTGATCGGGATGCAGGTAGGGAGCTCTCCACTCATCTCCTCCTGGCTCCAGCACCGCACTCCCTGCCGCCCGACTACCCCTGTCCCTCTTCCATCCTCTGAGGCTGAAGAGGTCACAGGAACTGGAACTTCCCCCAGATGGATATCCTGTAGGTAGCAGGGTGAATGCCAAGTGTGGGTACAGAGAGCTTTCCCCCGAAGACCCAGGACTGGGTTTGCTCTTGGTAGAGGGAAAACACCCCAATCCTGCAGTGGGCCTCAGGAGAGATGCAGCCCTTCTCAGGAAGCAACAGAAGGTGTGTCTGACCAGCCTCCACCTTTGTCCGGGTCTGATGAGCCTGAGAATTACTCCAGCGTCATTCAGGAGAAGCTAATGACTGAAAGAGAGGGACGGAGGGAGGGAGAGGAAGGCTGTTCCCATAAACACGCAGCAGTGTTCTGCGGCCTCCCCTCACAGGTGCCCACCACACCTTCTCCTACTCCAAACCCAGAGTTTGCCAGCCTCTCTTCAGGGCTCCAGCTGAGTTCCCCAAGCTCAGACTCGGCAGAACATCTCAGCCCAGCATGTCCTCAGCAGCTCATTGCAGAAGGACCAAAAGGTCCATAGGCCAAAACCTTTTGAGATAAAAAAGAGACCCCTGATAAAGTGTGGCAGTTCTCGGATAAGCACAGCTTTAAAAGGCCAGGGAAAAACAGAGGCCTCCGGTTTCAGGGATGACTTAAGTGTGCCCAAGCCTCAGATCACTCATTCCATGTCACTCCAGAATCCAAGAACTAAATTTGGAAGAGTGCTTGGGCACATGGAGCTGAAATGGCAAAACCATGAGGGCCGGTGAGCCCTGTGTCCTGTGTAGAAGCCAGGTCCTGGGCTTGGCACCCACCGTGCTCAGCCATGGCACTTTCTTGAACATGGCTCTTGTTCAGTGTGGGGAATTGGGGCCACAGGCTGCGCAGGACAGCCACTGCCTGACAGGTCACATCAGGAGACTGCTCACCTTATAGGCCAGCCAGTCCCAGAGTCACCTGTGATCCCTGAAGAGACCCTTGAACAATGAATGGTTGGAAATTAGGACCCTCTCTGTCCACAGGTCACCAAATAACTCTTCCTTCCCTCTACTAGGTGTTTGGAAAAATTGCCCTGAATGACACCACAGAGATCAACCGCAACAACAACTTTCAGACCTTCCCACAAGCCGTGCTGCTGCTCTTCAGGTGGGTCTCCGAGGACGAGGCGCACACGCACGCACACACACACACACACACACACACACACACCCCTGCATGGCGCACCTGTGGCTGGATGTGGTCCATTGGGGGCCAGTCTCCAGGAGGAAGGAAAGAGGGAGGACACGGGCTCTCCCTCCCCGTTGGGAAGCTAGCCATCTCCTGGTGGTTTCCCACAATTTCCCATCAGGCAGCTCCCTGCACACTGACACACCCACTGGTAACCACCCAGAGCCACTAGGGGATCAAAAGTCAAATACGGAAAGCACTCTGGTTTGGCATTGGAACAGGCTCAAAGCCAAGGCCGCGACACACGCACTTCATGGCCTTGAGCAAGACACCTAACCTCTCTGAGCCTTTTCCTCGTGAAATAAGTACAGATGTGGGTCACTGTGCCAGTGTATGTGCCATCTGCTGTGTTGGGTGGTCATGTCCAAGGGTGCTTGGTTCCATCCTCGTGCAAGCCAGCCTCAAGTCTTTCCACTTCTTGGAAGGCCCTGGCTTGGGGCTGGCTGGGGAAGGGGCCGTTTCCCTAACCTGCCCTCAAGCGAGCCTGTGCTGCTGCCGCTTCTCCTCTCTCATCTGCTCATAACAACCCCCTTGATCTGCCCCAGACTTGTCACTTTCCTGCTAGAACTCTGGGACCCCCATACAGTCCAGGGCTGGTAGGTGAAAGCTACCTTGTCCTGAGCTGGGTGATTTATAAAGTCCATTCCAGCATGGGTATTACACATACCATGGCACTAGGAGATGTGCCAGCCATTTTCTCTCCCTGGGCTCCTTTCCAGGGGGTTCTGGGGCTGCTGTCAACCCTGCCTCCGCCATGCTGTGAAGAGCCCTCTCCCCATACCCAAGCCCACGTTTCATTATTGTTCAAAATATATTATGTCAAATAGCAGGCTCCTAAATAATGCTGTGACATCACCACCTTATAAATGATCAGAACACAGGACCATTGTTAACTGCTATTTAAAAGCCTGTGCCCCATTGAAATATGGGAGTTGGACACAGATATCAGACTGAGCACATGGGCTTACTCCCCTCTTTTCCTAAAGTCTTGATGACAGAAGATATTTTTTAAAAGAATAAATTCATAACAGTACTAGAGGGAAACATGAAAGAGTGCTATTTGTGAACCAGAAATGTGGAGGAATATCCAAATGGAGGCACGCAGATGGATTCGTTGATGAAGGACCAAGGCCTGAGAAAGCTCACCTCCAAACAGGGCAAGTGAGGCCTACACAGGTGACAGCAGCGGGGGCTCTCCATGCTCAGGGTCATCAGACACAAGGCACAGGAGAGGCCTGGGGCCCTGGCCTGGCTGGCTTCTCAGGGACTCACGCTGGAGAGTGCTTGTTAATGCCCCCAAGCTGAGAGCAGCAGACTTGGCATCACAGCCCTGGGCTTTGGGGTCTGAGGGCAGAGCAGGCCCCCCAGGGAACCTGCCCTCAGAGAAAAGCAACCTGCCCAGCTCACCTGGCAGCTCATCTTGTCTTCCATGATCCCTAGGGAGACTCGTATGATGAGGACTTTATCCACAGAGATGTGAACTGGGTTCTCGATCGCTAAGAGCCATCAATAGTGTCTCCCAAAGTACTGGGGGAAACCAGCATCGAGAGAGAGAGAGAGGCACCATACTCAACCAACAGATGAATGAACACATGAGCAGAAGAGGAGCAAACAGAGCCAGAGGACCTCAAGATAAAAACAATCTATATCTTTAGAAAGATGAGGGAACAAGAGTGGCAGAGGCCATTATTAAAAAGAGCAAAATAAGATTCTAGAGGAGAGGGAAAATGGCGGCGGGTCTGGAGCACCCGTGTCGGGAAACAGCGCGATCCTGAGTGCTGTGTGCTGTGATACCAGAGAAGT